ACAAATTACGCATACGCCGTGTGCGACTGGGGGCGAATCAACAACCAGTAAAACACAAACAACAAACAACAAACAAAAGCCAAGCAACAAATTTATGAAATTTAATCCAATGGAAATGGAAATGAGAACGAAAGCCGAGCACATTGGGGACAGAGTGTGGAGGCGACAAAATGAATTCAGTGTCAATTAATTGCAGAAGCCGCTGGCTGGCTGGCTGGCTGGCTGGCTGGCTGGTTGGATGGCTGGTCTCTGGCGTTTGCGATGCGGGCATTGGCAATGGCATTGGTTTTGCTCCGTTAATGCTGGAGGATGCGCGAACCCGAAGAGCCAAGCATTCAGCCAGCCGCAAGGAGAATGTTTTATGATTGCTGATGTCGCACTGCTGCCATCCTCCCACCATCACAGCAAACAATCCCCACTCGAGCCGCTCCTCTGTTTGTTTTATTATGCGTAAGAGATTATAATGGAATTAATTACGTATACGCACACAGGTGGACGCAGGACATGGCACACACTGCTGGCCACTTAATTAGTACGTGGGGGTACATGTATGCCGTTGATGCCACCGCTGCTCTGGATGCTTATTCCAGGTGCCTGCTGCCTGCTGCCTGCTCTGCTGGCTCCTCTGTGTTTGCTTATATTTAATTGTCTGACGGCTTTTGGCAAACATTTTCGTTGGCGCGGCGGCGCTCTTTTTTATACGTTTCTTCGTTTGTTTATGTTTTATAACGTTTTTTTTTTATGCGCTTACGCCATAAATCCGGCAAATACCCTAACACACATTTGCCACCGGCGGCCAGACACACACCCAAAACGTAAACATTTTGTAGAATTTTTAACGATAAAACGAAAAGCACTCAAAGAGATCGAAGAGATCGTCTGCTGTTCATTCATAAATCAATTTGGGAATAAGCTGAATAAAAGAAAATTCATTGGGAAATGCATGTAAGCGGGAATATATTTCAAGCTGCAACAAGAAGAACTCTAGCTTTGACCTTTGATATAAGGATAAATATTTATCCAACAATGGTAACTTTTTGGCATGTTTTTGAAAGCATTTTTCAATGCCTTCACTATCCATAAAGAGGGTATTGCCAGCAAACTGATAACCAAGTGGACAGAGCCGACAGAGTTTGTGATATTTTTCTTTCAGCCTGACATTTGCATTTGCATAATTAATCAATTAATGCTGCGTTTCTATGGTCACCCCAATCCAAATTAGATTTGTTTATAGCTGTTTTGTGGGGGCATAAATTGTGACTTATTTAAATTTCGATTTTGATATTCAGATCCAGCGATTGCACATTTTTAGGCCGCGCACGTGCCCCCAAACGTGTCTATGCACAAATGTCAACTAAATGTACTGTGATACCCCCAATATTCATTTTTCCTAAATGGTGGGCTAGGGTAGAGTGGGCGCCATGGGCAGCATATTATTTGATATGCAACTTGTTTGCTTTATCGCCAATGGACATGTCAATTATTTAATGTTTAGTGCCTTATTGCATTTCAATTTTTGCAATTTTTATCGCCAGTAATTTGATATTCACAGAGATTACGTGACGTGCATCGGGGAATTTCTTTCCCATTCCAAATGTTCATGGCGTTTATCTTTTTCTTGCTTGTTTTGAAGGGGTGGTGGTTCCTTTAGAAAGGTTGACGTTGGTTGTGCGAAATGAGATGTTTATGGACTGCACCATTTCGATATCGATGCCGTTTTTCATTCATTATAATCCCTTCATTAGCTAAGCGGACATTTGTAATGGAGATTTGTTTGCCTTTGCTGGCTCTTTTCGATGGGGGAAGAAGTCTTTCAACCAATTCTTTACTGTCTAAAATATCATTATCATAATGGATGTTTTACTCCTATTAATCACTGGACTTAAATGTATTGTTTAGTGTCTAAGAAAGATTTGTCTGGGTCCAACTTCAATTTGCTCAAAATATTAAGAAATACCAAAGATTTGTATACTATATCCATATCCCTGGGTTTTGTTCCTTTTCTTTAGCCGCTTTTATCCTTTGATCTCTCAAATTTGCCATCAAAATTCTTGGGAAACGTGTTCTTTCCACTTTCGATTCGTTTGACTCATTGTGTGGTATGGTAATCCCCTAAGATGCCCAAGCACCCAGGTTCCACTTAAGAAAAATCTCGCACGACATTGAGGTGTCAAAAGTGTGCGCCTCCCCGCCCTGCACCGTCCCGCTCCACTGTGGTCTATTTTGGTTTTGGAAGGTGGGTTCGTCAATTCACAATGCTAATGGATCTTTTGGGCAGCAGCAACTTCCGCCACTGGCACTGCTGTCACTCTCCCAGCGGCGGCATCTCCTCACCTGACATTTGAATGCATTTGATTTGATATTTTCTGTCATTTGCGTGTCGTTGTTTTCCTTAGTTTTTCCTTTTTGCTCTTTGCCTTTTCGCCTTTCTGTTTTTCTAAGAATGATTAGTTTATAGCTGCGACTTGTCCGTCTCTGTTTAGCTCTGTACCTCTCGGTGTCTGTGCCTGTGTGACTTTCCTCTCTGCCGCGTTCGGCTCTCGATATTCCTGTATCTGTGAACGTCTTTTGGCTGTGCATTTGTTGTTGTGTTCTATGTGCTGTCTTTGACATTCTATTTTTAAACAATAATAACAAAGTACTACGTAAATAATATGCCCCACTCTTAATTGCATTTTCTAGTTCTCTCTTTTTTTTGTTGCTGCTCTTTAACCACCTCATTTGTTCCATCTTTGTCGTTGAACATTTGTTCGCTCTTCCTTCGGAAATCGCAGAGGCAGCCACCAATTTGTGGGGTAAGATGTTGTCAAAAGAATTTAAGAATTTAATGCGCTTAAATTCTGTTCATGGGTTTGCTTATCTTTCGTTCACTCTAAGCTGCTGCTAAGCAACGCTGTGATAGAGCATTAAAGTGAGACTGCGCGTAGGAAAGGGTAGCGGTACAACTCTGAAACTGATTTCCAATATTTAGCCAAACGCCAGAGTCAGTCTTGAATATGCGATGGATTTCATTTGGACTTTGATGGGTTTTTTTCAGTTGGATTTTATGGGGGAAATAGGGGAATGGCCAGCGCTAACTTTCAATTAAAAATCCATATAAAATTCATGACTGAAGCGTCGCCATCGATGTTTTGGGCCTTGCATTTTTACAAGCGTTGCCAATGGCCCCCACGTCCCCACGATGCTTTCCGGCACACAACAGAAGCGCGTGTATAAAAATTTGATTTGGTGTTTGGGGCTGGGGGGTATGCCAAAAGTTAAGCCATTCAGCAATATCTGGCATATTACAGGCCCCCTGCGATGCGAGGCGAGGCACTCTTTCAATTACAATTTCGATTCAATTACAAACTGTGGTGCAAAATGCGAAATGCGAAATGCAAAATTGAAAATGCATTTCCACTTGAATGCAAAGGCGATCTTATCTCCGTCTGCATTCTTGGTCAAGCGATTTTCCTTTGAGATAAATGAGAGACAAATTCAGAGGAGAAATACTCAAATATTTTCGCTTGGCATTTGGTGACGTGCGGCGATCGTGGGGTGCGATGGGGAAAATAAATGAAATAAATATAAATGTTGCGCATAAAAATCTATTTGTGATTCAAGGTCGCGTCATCAGTTTCTCTTAGTGGATAGTGGCCATATAGGTGGGATATATATTGTGTGTGAGGAAAGAGATCTGGCAAAGACAAATCACTTAAAACAGCGACGAATATCTGCGCTGCACTTTGGCAGATTGATCATTGCACTCAATTATAATCACTATAATCATGATTGAGTATTGATGACTGAATGCTTAACACCTTGAAGATGGTTTAAGTATAGTTTGATGTGTTTTTATTTGTTTAAAGAATCATTATAGCTATAAAAACAAAAAACAAAAAAGAAAAGCTACAACCCAATTCGGAACATGCCTGTGCCAACATTTCATCGTTATGGCCACCTTTTCTTTGGCTTTATGCTGTTCGTTTCTTGGAATATGATGTCTAAAAATCTCTACGTACTTAATGTATTGGATCATCGCTTCTCGATGCGCTCCTCTCGCGTTCAACATGTGGGCCACACACTCTCTAGTGTCTCTCTCAATGGAATAGACCTTCTTTATGCGGCAGATTGTTCAATTATTCAATTGTGAACCTGAGACGAGTCCGGTGGAGAATGATGATTAGATTTATTGGATGCGGGATTAGCTTGCCCCTGAGTGGAGCGCAGGGTGTGGGCCTCTCCCTGTCTCCGCCTCGCATGGTAATTGAGTTCGAGCCTCGAGCTCGTGGCTTGAGAATGTGACTCCCAGAGCATCATGTTGGCTTCTATTTCTTGATCACATTACTCGTTTTTTTTTGTGAAAATTCATTCCCCATTCCCTTCTTTTCTGTCTCTCTCTCTCTCTCTCTCTCATTCTATCTCTCTCGTTTTTTTGGGTAAACGATTTGATTTGTCGTCGCGGCTTTGAATTGAAATGGAAATGTGAAATGGTAATGGTACTTCGTTCAATATTTTAATCATCTCTGATTGCCCCCGTGTGGAGCCCGCTTTGCTGCCACTCTGTTCTATATTGAGACGTCGCTCTCAAATTGTTCGTGGACTATGCAAATGTAGCGGAAATACTGAAAAAATGCCACTCGTTTTTTTTTTGTTTCGGCCCTGGACCATGTACGAGTGACCAGTTGGCAGTGGCAGTTGCCAGTGCGAGTATACCTGTATGTATGCGGTATAAGGTAAGCCATACAAGCGAGAGTATACATATGTGTATGTAAATATGTATCTTTAGGGGTTCCTGAATGATCTCTTCAGAAGTTTGCTCAAGTGTGTCACTTGAACGCTGACCAACAGCGGGCCAAACAATTGCTTTTGAATATGAATATCGAGTATATTTGATCTGCTCTCCGTCGAAAATCATTCAAATACGTGTATATTAAGCTGGAACATAGTATTTCGCATACACAATATGTAAATGCATGTGTTTAAAGTAGATGAGCAAATTTTTGGTTATGTTCTCGTACCTGGTTCTTTGTTGGTGTTGATTTTTGTGGTGTAATTTGTGTGGATTTTTTTTGCCCGATTGTTTATAGCACTAATTGTATTTTTGGTCCAGCCATGCGCCTGTCATTGAGGGTTAATTAAATTATTCAAATATTTAGACGCCCTCACTATAATTTCATTTTGAAATTTTCCATATTTTATATCTCGTTTTGCCACTGGTGCGAGATATTTGTCAACACGCGATGTTCCACTATTTTTCGTGACACAAACGCAAATATTTCAGAGCGACACAAAACAAAGCAAAAAATCACAATCATAATGAGCCGAAGTGGTGGAAGAAATGTGCTCCACATGGGACACACAAGTATGTGGCAGCAAAAACAAAAACACACAACAAAAAAACCAAATGAAAATTGTTTGAAATTTGTTTGGCAGCCGCGCCATGGGGCATTCTTTGTCACCAGCTAACGAACAAAATGTTATCTGCATGCATATAGTTTTTCCAATAAAAAAGAAGCCAAAAAACTGATTGCAATATTCAGTGAAATGAAAAGGTATTACTCCGAGAGATATGCAAATTAGTTGCCATCTAAATGAATGGACATTTAATTGATGTTAATATCGAGATCCGATAAAAACCATAACTAGAACTATATTTTAAATCGTTTTATTTGTTAAGTAAATTAATTTTATTTCATATTTTGCTTTTCATTTTATACGATTTAATTGGAGCACATTAAATGTGTTTCAGTTTGTGGGGTTTTTTTTTTTGGTATTAATTGAGATTTTTAATCTAATCCTTTTGAGAAACAAGTTTCTAATTATCTTTAATATTTTATATCAGTTTTTGTAACAGCCACTTAATGTTTTAGCTTACATTTCTTTCAACTACAAATTTAAGAATTTGTTTTTTATTATTGCATTCGAAATCTTTACATCCAAGCTCAATTTCCATAAAGAAAACAAAAACCAAAAAAAAACACACACAAACAAACCCTAAAAGAGCGCAGAAAGAGATAGAAGTATCGGCGAAACGAAACGAGAGGAAGGGAAACGACGTCGCCAGCGCACGTAAAGATCAACGGAAGAGCATCGCGAGGAGACTGAAAAGCCCCGTTAGACACAGATCTCATGCCGCCAGACGGCAACGACGATGCCAATGCCGATGACGGCGGGCAGGTGGAATGGAAAAGGAAGAGTGCCAGCCCAGAGGGGTGGTGAAGCACACCACGCATCGCGTGGGCAACCGGCATCAGTAGTGGCAGCGGCAGCGGCAGCGGCAGCGATCATTTAGTCAAATGATAAATGATACGAGCAGCGCAGCCTCGCCTCTGATCTGCTCTGATAAAGCTCGCAGCATACAGGTGTCTGTGGGAGCAAGCAAGAGCTTCGCTTCTGTTTGCCAAAAAGCTCCTGGGACCCAAAGCTCTACGCTCTAAAATGTGTAATTTTTTTTAATTTGTATGGTTCATGTCTTCGCTACTTATAAAATCGTGGAACTTTTCGTTTACTGTTTCGCCGGCGGTGCCGCTGCTGGTGGTGGAGCCGCCTTTGGTGCGTCTCCTTTTGCAGGTGGTGCAGCCGGTGGTGCTGCAGCTGCTGCTGGCGGTGGCGGAGCACCTGCTGCTGGTGCTGGGGGTGGAGCACCTACTGCTGGTGCTGGGGGTGGAGCACCCGCAGCTGGTGGCGCTTTTGGTGGCTCCTTACCCTCAGCCTTGGCCCTCTCCGCTTTGGCCTTGTCGGCCGCCTTCTTGGCCGCGGCAGCAGCAGCCACCATGGCCGCATCCCCCACGGGAACATTCTTAATCTGGGTGAGGGGCGTCGCCTTCGGCTTGCCCAGACACAGCTCCGAAATGCGAATATGCTCCAGATGGTGACCATGGACGCCCCGTATCTTGGGCTCCAAATTCTTGACATAGACATCGGCCTGCAGCTCGCTCAGATCCACCTCCTTGTCCTTGACCGCCTTCTTGCAGTCTGCGTCCACGCGATTTCGGACCTCAGTTTCGAGCTTCTTCAGCTCCTCTTCGGTGGCCAGGCTCAGGGCGATGATCTGGCCGCGGAAGCTCGAGATGGGATCCCGCTTCTCGCGCACCGTCTGCACCTCCTCGCGCGAGCGATACGAGGTGCCCGGATCGGACATTGAGTGGCCCACGTACCGGTAGGTGTTCATCTCGAGCACAATCGGCCCATGGGCCAGGGCATACTCGATGGCAAACTGTGTGGCACTGCGCACGGCCAGCACCTGGTTACCATCCACCCACAGGCCGGGTATGTACTGTCCCCGCATGTAAAAGTCCGTGCTGGCAGCTGCACGATCCGCCCGCGTGCCCATGCCATAGTCGTTGTTCTCGCACACAAAAATGCACGGCAGGCACCACAGTTTGGCAATGTTGAACGCCTCGAAGACCTGGCCCTGATTGGCCGCACCATCGCCATAGCAGGCGATGCAAACGCCGCCATCGCCGCGGTATTGATGAGCCAGTGCCACGCCGGCGCCCACCGGCACCTGAGCGCCCACAATGCCATTGCCGCCGTAGTACCGATCGGCATACATGTGCATGGAGCCGCCCTTGCCGCGGCTGCAGCCAGTGCGAACGCCGAGCAGCTCGGCCATCATCTCGTAAATGGAGACACCCATGAGGTAGGTCCATGCATGGCAGCGGTAAGCCGTTATCATCGAGTCCTGTTTGCGCATGCGGGCATGCATGCCCACGGCCACCGCCTCCTGCCCGATATACAGATGACAGAAGCCCCTGATCTTCTTCTCCTGGTAGTAGTTGGAGGACACGGTCTCCACGCGCCGCACCTCCAGCATCTGGGTGTACATCATCAGGGCATCCTCGCGCGACAGATCCACATCCGTAGGTGGTCCCGACTCCAGGTCATAGCACTTGAAGGTCTAACCAGAAAAAGAAAATAAATTCGATTTGAAAAGATGATTGCATTACGAGGTATTTACATGCTCCAGGGTCACGCTATTGCAGTTATTTGAGTTGTGCCGCCTGCTGTTTGCCGTGACTGTCAAGGCGCTGGCTCTGCTCCAGCTACGCGTCTCACCCGTCCACACATGTAGAAGCTGGCTTCGCAGCGGTGACTGAACGCTGACCAAGCGCAGCAGCCAGCTGCTTCCACTTTTCTTGTGCATGCTTCCCCGTATGGTTCACCGTATGTGCTACTGTCAAAAGCCGACCGTTGAGAACTTAATAGAACCCCCGCCTGAATAGGAATTTAGAAATATTTTGCAAAATTTTGATATGAAATCATCGAAGTATTGGCATCCAAAAATATACTACAATGAAACGAATGTACGTTCCCAACCAACGACGACAGCAAAGGCAAATCGAAAAGACAGAAAGGAAACTACAAAATAGATACAGGAGCAGAGAGTGTTTCCCGCTGAGAGTAAGAGAGAACGAGTCGCCGAAAAGGAAAGAGATGGAAAGAGTGCTACAAACACGATTACAAGGCAGATAGATACAGATACAGAGATACAGATACATCTACAAAAAAGAGATTTAAAATGATGTTTGTAAGGAGATGGCCTTTCGATTGCTTCCTTTGCTTCTCGTAATTTCTTATATAAAGCATTTCGGATGAGTTCGAAGTACACGTCTCTCGATATCAGGTCTCTTTGGTAGATAGATAGATTCACTTGCGAATCAAACTTTAAAGAACACGCAGACGGACACATTTCACATACATTATTGGACATACAATCGGCAGACAGACGAACAGACAAACGGACAGACAGATCACCTCCTTATCGTGTAAATCTGTCATTTGGTTAATCAGCATGTCAATTAATATTTATAATGTATATTTTCAACAATTTACACCTCGCTTTATCCATATTGAACACGTTCACAATTTATCCAATAATATCCAATGCAGTAATTCCCCAAAACCATCAACCAGGGTGAGTGGGTGGCGGTGCGTGTAGGGTTGTTTGCTTTCTGTGTTTGTGTATGCTTCGATTCGCTAAGTTGTGGGATGATTCCTCGAACAGGAACCTCCACTTATAGGCAGGGGATATTCCAACTTTCGGCTTAAGAGCTAGAGATTGCGTGTGAGTGTGTGGGTTATTCTGTGTCTTGTGTGTTTGCGTTTGAGTTTGAGGAGGGGGAGTTGGTTTCGGCAGATCTCTAGTGATTGACACCCTTGCGTTCCTGGATGTGATCCAGATTGTAGCTGTTGGTGCCACGCAGCTTGGGCTCCAAATTATTGGAGGACACATCCGTCCAGAGATGGCTGACAGCCAGCTCGGCATCGCTCTTGGCAAAGGCAGTGGCCTCGTCGATCTCCTTGCGCACCTTCAGATCGATTGCCTGGAAAAGAGAAGAGAATTTTTAGCCAGAACACGTAGAAGGAGTCTCTCCTTAATCCTTACCTTGACTTCGTCGGTGGTGATGAGACCCAGCTCAATGCACATTTCCTTGAAGGATGTGATGGGATCACGCTTTTGGCGCACCTCCTGGATCTCCTCGCGGGTGCGGTACGAGGTGCCCGGATCGGACATGGAATGGCCCGAGTACCGATACGTGTTCGTCTCCATTACCAGGGGACCGACGGTGTTCACATAGTTGATGGCAAACTCTGTGGCACTGCGCACGGCCAGCACATCCATGCCGTCCACCCAGATGCCGGGCAGGGCATCGCCGCGTGTGTAGTAGTCCGTGTTGCAGGAGGCACGCTCCGAGCTGGTGCCCATGCCATAGTTGTTGTTCTCGCAGACAAAGATCACGGGCAACTTCCACAGATAGGCCATGTTGTAGGCCTCGAACACCTGGCCCTGATTGGCCGCACCATCGCCGTAGAGGGCCAGGCACATACCGCCGTTCCCCTTGTACTTGCAGGCCAGACCCACGCCAGTGCCCAGCGGCACTTGGGCGCCAACAATGCCATTGCCGCCGAAGAAGTTCGGGGCATACATGTGCATGGAGCCGCCCTTGCCGCGGGCGCACCCACTCTGGTTGCCGGTCAGCTCGGCAAGGACACCAATGGGCGAGACGCCCATCAGGTACGTCCAGCCGTGGACACGGTATGCCGAAATGATGTTGTCCACATCCCGCATGGCCGCCTTCATGCCCACGGCGCAGGCCTCCTGTCCGGAATACAGATGACAGAAGCCCCGAATGATCTTCTCCTTGTAGAGATTGCCGGCCGCCGTCTCAATGCGTCGGATCGTCTGCATTTGTGTATAGTACTTGAGCGCCTCATCCTTGGTCAGTTTCACCTCGGTGGCCGGTCCTTCGTCCAAGCGATGCAACTTGAAGGGCTGCAAGCGGCGAATGTGAAACGATTAGGAAAAGTTTCCACTCGCGGAAAATAGGAAAGCGAAATGGCTTGAGGTGATGGCCTGATCCCCTGATAAGGGGAGGTGTAAACAAAACAAAATCCAATCAAAGACAGACAGAGACGGAGTGATGCTGATACGGTGAGTGGCGGTGCGGTGCGTGTCTACCCGTCTCGGTCACGCGGCGGCCACGCAAAAAGCAGCGGCAGCGTGTCAAGTGTGCGCTCCGTGACCTTGATCATTTTGAAAATTGACGGAATGCCGCTCTGCCGGCTAACGGTGCTAGAACACCACACTCTGAGTGTGTGTGTCAATGCAACCCTGTGCACTCACACACACGCACGCACACTTTTGCTATCTGATGGTAGAGCGCATTATGTAATCTGTTGGTGATTTTGATTTAATTTTCCACCTTATGCCCCTTTCTCCCCCCAGCCAATTAACTTACGCGATTCACTTGCACTGTCGCCTCCGTGGCATAGTTGTTGGTTTTGGCCACGCCAGCCTGTGCTGCATTCTGGAATAGACCGAAAAATGATGATGAATAACCTCGACAGATGTTTAGGCTTAGCTGTTGATGATGCTGCTGCTGCTGCTGCTGGAGCTGCTGCTGCCGATGAAGATGATGTTGCAGCCGCACTGTCCAGTGATTGCTGTTGTTGCCGCCACTTGTAGTGTTAGTGCATTTATTTATTGTTGTGGTGTGTTTTTGGTATTGTTGTTGTTGTAGTTGCTGTTGTCGTTGTGTTTGCTGTCGCTCGAGATTAGTGATAACAACGTTGGGGTTAGTGACAGGATTACGTACTTTTTGCAATTGCTTAACAATAAGTGGCAATTCGCTAACGCGTGACAGAGTACGCAACATTTTTCGGCAAGATTTTCCGCTAAAACTGGATCAAAAACTTCGATGAGGGGGCTTTAAGCGATCGATCTATAACTATATGTGGATCAAGCTGGCTGTCTCTCTCTATCACGCACTGAGCACACCGCACTGCCGCGCCGTCGTTGTAAGTGTTAAACAAAAAATAGTAGATTAGTTTATCAATTTTTCTATTGCTATTTCTTGTTCGCGTAACAGCTAGTGGTGGGTGGACCATAGAGGACCGCGGAATCATCGATAGCCCTCAGAAATATACCAAAATTTTTTAAACATACCATAACAATAAACCAACTCCTCGATTTTGATATTCTGTTTAATAGTACTAGCAAGCTCAGACTCTCAGAAATGAAACTATAATTGTATCCAATTGATAAGTTAATTGTATACAAGATTGGCTAGAATTCGTCGATGGTCCGGCACGATTAGCTCTCCGACAACTATCGATGTGAGATATGCTGACACTGTCGATGTATCGACTGGTGCGCATTGCGTGGGTGGCCCTATCATTGGCGGGAGGTTTGAATGAAATTTTGCCTTGATAGCAGGCAATTTTTGCTTTATTTCCTTAACGCATCAAATCTCTGTGTTGAATACCAAATCCCTAGTTATAGATTATCTCATCCCTGTTCCAAAATAAAAACACATTCTCATGCCCGGTCTCAAAGAAGTACTTTTATTTCACATTGAAGAAATCTCAATTTGGTTTTTGTTTCTTGCTTCCTTTGTTTTCTTACTCGTATGCTTACTTGAAGTTCCCATCATTTTCGCCATCATTTCCGCTATCATTTCATTACATTTTGCTTGAATATCGCTTCACGCTTCTCACATAATTCACTAAACTCTTACAAAAACTTAAGTAATGTTTATTTCTTGCACAAAAACCAGCAGAACTAGAAGTAGAAAAAATAACATGGAGAGAGCACGTTTCTCGATACGAAATAATTATGGTTACAAACTAAGTTTAAACTAGTTTTAATATTTGTTGGAATTTGTTATATTTTATTTTCGGTTTTTGTGATTGCTTAAGAAATGGCAGCTACAAGATTTGAGTTCCGAGAGAGTTTTTCACCCCATGGCTCGAGTACAATTGTTTGGCAAAAACTAAACAACAAAAATGTATAAGGGTTTTGGTTGGACGTATGGGGTGGTAGGGGTTAGGTCTGCCAATGGATTGGTATTGGATTGAAATAATAACGAAAATAAAAAACAATAGATCAAAATTCTTGTATTCAAACATGCTCTGCTCTGCTTTGCTCGCTCACTCTCTCTCTCTCTCTCTCTCTCTCTCTCTATTTTTTTAATCAGCGCCCACATAGCGCCACCTACACTGATGCTGTCCTGTCGTCTCGATTACTCTCGCCGTCCCGTCGCGTCCGTTTGTCTATCTAACTGTCTATCCCGCTCTGGTTCTGGCAATTTAATGCCCGTTTTCCAATGATTCATTTTTCTTTCATTTACTATCCTGCTTTCGGGTTTCTTTTCTTTTACTCTCTGCCGTTTTTTTCAAAATTTTTTTTTAGTTTGTTTCACATCAAAAATTGGTTTCTCATGCACGTGGCATGCAAATATTCTGCATTATGACAAAAAATTATGCTCTTTTATCTTTAATATGCATATACACACATGTACGTATGTATGTATATATATTTTTTGTTGTTCTTGTTGTTGTTGTATATATAAACACTTAGTAGAAGTCCTCATGTGTGTTTTGTTGTGTTTTGGTTTTTTCTCCTCCATTCTTCCATATCTTTTTTTGGTTTTTCTTAGAATTTCTTATTAAAGACAAAAAATTATGCTTTTTCTTCATGTGTGTCGGTGTGTCATAGATGTGTGTGGGTTTTACCTTTTTTTTTAATTGTTTTTTTTTTTTACTTTGGTTATTCTGCACTGATGCATTCGTGAGGGCACGGGAATGGGGTTGTGTGTGGTGGTGTGGTAGAGGGAAATCTTACCGTTAGCATAAATAGTCCGTGTTCCAAGGAAAATCGTGCCGAGCAATAATCTAAAAAAAATCGCAAATAGCAAAGAGCGAGGTGCGACGGTGTGTGCTAAAGTAACTGTAAAGTTGTGTGTGTTGCGTAATGATATTTTGTTCACGTCTCGATTAGTGCTGTGTAGTGGTTGCATAGTACCAGTGCTGCGAAATGCCGCCTGCTTTTCGGTTGTTCGGTGTTTCCGTGTTTTTCTTGGTTTCTTTTTCGTTTAGGAAATTACGTATTAAACTTTGGAGTAGGTTTCTTTTACTTAGGGTTTTGTTTTTTTTTCTGCATAATTTACACATATTTATTGAATTTACTTATGTTTCCATTCCATTCCTTTTTCCACCCGCTGATTTGTTCTCTCTCTCTCTCTCTCTCTCTGTTTATTTGTGTGAATTAATGTTTTGCTTGATCTTGTTTGTCTTTTCTATGTTTTTCCTCTGATCCGATCTTCTCATCTAAAAGATTTGTCTATTCCCTTTGGTTTTGGCTAAAAATTGCATGTGGTATTTTTTAAATATTTTTGTTTGTATTTTAATTTGCTTCTGATTTGCTGTTCGTCCAACAACGTAAATCCAATTGGAAGTATTTTTAACATATATAGCACACATTTATGTAAACGACAAGAGAATAATTACAATATATATTTTGCTTGGGCTGTGTGTTCCGTTTTTTTTTCGTTTGCTTTTACTTTTACTACATTTCTCATCTGTTTTCTCCAATCCTTTCCCCTATTTTGTTTCTGACCAAAATTCTGTTTCCTTTCTGTTTTTGTGGATGGACCATATCATCATATCGCATGTGCTGTTGCTCTTGCTGTACCAATGTCACATGACTCGCCTCTCCAATGCTCTTTTCAGTGTGGGACCACAATTTCGGGTGCTCAAAAGCAAGGAAATATACAAATACATCTATATATAATATATGTATAAATATCTATTAAGTTGTTTCGTTTCTGTTGGTTTTGGTTGCTGATGCACAAAATGTGTGTGTATGTGGTTGTTTATGCCATTTGTGTTTTGACAATGTGTTTGCCTTCTGACTGTTTTTGCTTCTTCTGTTTTGTTTTTTATCCACATTACAATACATTTAGTAAATAAATGGGAACATGATAAATGATGATTAATATTCTGCGGCTTAAATTCAATTTCGTTTACAATTATTTGCCATTACAATGATTTGTTTTGCTCAAGTTTTTGCCCATCTTGTTTTTGTTGGCAGAATTCTCCTTTGGTTTGGTTTCCTCTTTGGTTTATCCTTTGCTTAGCGCGGCTTTTGCTGCTGTAAATCGGGTGTAGTGGTGGTTTGTGTTGACTGTACTTGAATGTTATGTATGTGTGTCAGTGTGTTTGCTGTTCTGTTCTGTCCTGTTCGGTGTCCTCTTGTTTTATTTTTCTTTTATAATTTTTGTATGGTTCTTTCCATTTGCTGCTGCATGCTGCTGCCTGCCTGCCAACGATTCATTTTCTCTGCTGGATTTCAGGGGGAAAATTATAGCTAAAGAGAGGGTATACAACGGGGGAGCGCTGTGTGTGCGAGGGAGGACTGTGTGCAAAAAAATAAAAAGAATGCCAATTTTTCCATTTAAGTTCAACATTATTTTTAATCGTGATTTGAGTTTGTTGCAATAATTTTCGTGTCTTTAAAACAAAAAAGAAACAGAAAACAAATAAAAATATTTGTGTTTGAGTTTTGTTACATCATATCATATCGATCAATAAAACAATTCTCAAATACATATAAATAGGGAAAAATGCACGTGTATATATATATATCGATTTGGTGGTTGTTGTTGCCAGATGGGGAAATTATCTAATAAATTGATGATTTTAGCGGCGTTGGTCCTACTACGATCTGCGATCCGCGATCTATATCTATATGTATATATATAATCGGATCTATCTAGCGGTGTATTTTGGGTGTGTGTAAACACATTTTGTTTTGTCCAAAATTTTGGAGGCGTGTGTCCTTGTGTCTGTGATTAGTGTCTGATCAATCAATGATTGAAATACCCAAAGCAACAAAATTTGGGTATTTCGTTCATTAGCACCATGCCACACGGACGAACATTCTGTTGTTGTTGCTCTTGTTTTTCCTGCTGCTGAGGTTGGTGATGCTGCGACTGCGCATGTGTGTGTGCGTATATGGAACTATAATCGTTCGACGAGGATCTAGGCACCATCTACCGATGGAAGTTCGATATCGATATCGACATCCAGATCCTCGTCATCATCGTTGTCGTCATCATCCTGAACAGGTGCAACAGGAGCTGGAACCACAGCCGCAGGTACCTCCACCACGTGCCCCGGCTGCTGTTGTAGTGTTTGTTTTAGTGTTTGTTGTTGGTGCTGTTGCATTGTTGGTTGTTGTTGTTGGAGTAGCTCCTCCTCCTGCTGCTGTTGAAGCTGTTGCAGCTCCTCCACTTCGGCGCGACGACAACTGCTGCAACTGGTGGCATCACTGTCCTCGACAATGGTACCATCGTCTGTGTCTTCCTCTTCCTCCTCCTCCTCTTCCTCAACCTCCTCCTCGTTGTCGTTGCCCACTGCTTCGTTCACATCGACATCAACATCGACATCGACGTCCACATCCACATCGACTTCGACATCTTCCTCATCCTCGTATTCCATACCCTCAATGTATTCCTGATCAAAGTCCAGGTCCAGATCTAGTTCCATATCCGTCTCCAGTTGTTGATCCGTGTGATGGTGCGGCTGTTTTTGTGATTGTTGCTGTTGTGTGTCTTGATCATCCGCCTGCTGTTGGTGCATCATTTCCACATCCTTTGGATGTTCCTGTTCTTGCTGCTCTTGTTTCACCTTTTTCTGTTGTGGATCCACATCTGGTTGGGGATGCTGCTCTTGTTGTTGTTGCTGTTTCTGTGGGTTGTTGTGTTGTTGTTGTTCATCTTCCACTGATGGATGCTGCTGTTGCTGGTGTTGATGTTGTGTATGCTGTGTATTGGTATGTTGTTGGTGTTGCAACAGCTGCTGCTCGGCCATCAGCCTCCTGACCACCACCGCATCCGACTCGACAATACTTTAACCGCTCTTAAACAGTAGTATGGCCACCTGGCCCAAGTAGAAGTAGATGAAATGGCGCGTCTCGTGTGTCACATACGATCCAAAGTTGCGGCCCACAATGCAATGCCATGTTGGATTGTATTTCTTGTCGAACTCCTTCTTGATATAGGCGGCAATGTCCTGAAAAACAAAATAAAAACAGAGAAACAAAGAGATTCAGTTAAGAGCCGATTAAGGTTTAGCTATTATAATTCCGCCCTTTAACAATCCCTCCGTTTACAGAGCAATATTTTTGCAATAAAATTTCAATGTTTATTCCATTTAAAGTTCAACAAATCTTTTAAAGGTAATTTGTTACGCTTTATGATTGAAAAATCAGTTACCCACGAAAACTGTCAACAAAATATATCCCCAAACAAGAACCGAAATCAAAACGAAAACGAAAACGAAAAACCGACAGTAGCAATTGACTGCTAAATGTTTTAGAATTAGCAGCAGCGGGGAAAAAGCGGTGGCTGGCAGCAATCTAGCGGCAAACTCAATAAAATTCTCTGCGCCGCACTCACACACACACTCCCTTTCCCCGTCAAACCACATTTGTGCCACACACACACGCATACAAACTCCCCACAACATGCCAAAATTCTGACTCTGCCAACTACCGTTCCAAGCGACAGTCTTCATCGTGGTCGTCGTCTGTCACTAGGACAACCCTCGACCCCCGAAAATGTGACCCAAAAACAGCCGAAAATTCTGGGTCTTGGCCCCACAGGAGAATATAAGAAGGAGGTACCAAAAGGAAAACGTGTATAGTGTGGGCTGTGGGATGGGCAAAAGTTCTTGTTTACTAATGAGTTACGTTATGGATTGTTGCGTTTTTGTTTGTGGGTCAAAGAATTAAGCAATTAGAGCAACAGTTTCAGCGAGAGAAGGAGATATAGAGAGGCTGCAACACCAAGCGGAGGCGTAGGAGCGAAATAAGGAAATCAGAGAGAAAAGCAAGGGTTAGGGGAAAGCAGGAGGAGGAGCCATGCGGCGGCATGCTGCGGAGTAGGATGGAAATTACTGCAGGCTGCAGCAGAACGGAAAGTCTGAACATCGCATGGATGGCCTGCGTCTGCAGCATTCTGCGTTGAGTGTTCATATTTCGTGGTTCACTATTTTCAAATATCCCATTTTTTTGTTTTGTCTTTTGAAAATGTCAAAGGTCATTGCCAGAGTTGCAATTGCGGGCGGCGTAAAAATCCAGGGTTACGCAAAGCACACAGACACATTCATCCTCCCACACACACACACAACTCACATAGATTCATATGTGGGAGGCAGAATGGAGAGGGAGCCACACTGGCGTCCACATAAATATAGCACCCCGTGGAGGGGGAAGATAGTGCATGGAATACGACAAGGCGTAGATGAGGGAAATGAAACGATAGAAGATTGAGAACTGTTGCAAACTTATAGGAAAAACCAGAAATATAAAAGGATAAAAGTTGCTTCCCCATTGTCACTATAAATGTTTCCCCAACCTAAAGCCAACCAACTCAACCTATCTATCAATAAACTCCAGATGGCATATTGAAAAACTTTTCATAAAACAGAATAAATTCGGGAAAGGGAAAATGGGCGGAAAAGCACAATTAAATGGAACCAGAACGATGAAAGAATGGGTGGAAAACGAGTGAAGAATGCAGCGAAAAAGGGAAGTTACATTGATAAAGAGCGTAGAAAATAAAAAAAGAAAAGGAAGGGTAAGGACGATGTGTTTCTAACTCTACTAACTCCCTCGCTCCGAAACACAACTAGCCTTAAACCTGACGAAGAAAATCCAAAGCTAAAACTTTCCTCTCTTTCAGAGTTTTTGGGTGGCACTGCCGAGGATTGTTGATTGTGTGGCAGAAGTAGGGGATTTGATTGGGTCACCATTTAGGGCAGTGAAGGGTGTGTGCGTGCAGTCATAAACTTAACCTCGTAACCTACAAAAACAAACAAAATCCAGCAAAAACAAAAAATAACTTTACAAAAATGTCCACAAATTTTGATTGTGTTGAGTGCGGTGGAGGGTACAGTGATAACTCTACATTAGCTCCATGCCCTTTCTTTTAATCTTCCAATCTATTCTCCTCTATTCTTATATAGTTTCTTCTCTGGTCTCAGTGATGACACTGCGATCGCGTATTAAGTCATTCCATTCATTTCAGTGTCCTTTTGTGTTTCTTGTTTGTTTTTGTAAGCCGTGCGTGTGCCTCCGCCGCATGTCGTGTCAGACGACAATATAAAGTTGATTGTTTTATATTCAATTTTGGTTTGAGGCACACATCGCCCCCACCCACTCACAAGCGGCAACTCCAGACCACATCAGACCATCCATCCCCTCCCATCCCATCCTATCCCATATTCCTATCATCCCCTAGCAATGCCATGGAATTGTTGTTTTGGCAACTCAAAATTGTGACACACAACCCAACAAACAGCAAATGGAAGCAGGAAAGTGCAGTGGGGGCCAAGGCAACACACATTCGCGAAGAAGTTTCATTTCGTGAATAATAATGAACCTTTTGCCATTTTGGACATGTGTTTTCTGGCAGGGGACATATTGATATTTCAACTTAGACATTTTCTATGGCCCTTTTTCTTAGATATATTTCAATCAGGGGCAAATAATATTGAAAGAAAGCGATGATGAGAGATGAGACCTACGATTATTCCCCGTTTATGAACGATTTATCTACGTGTGTACTGTGTTCTGTTGAGTGCACATCATTGAAGGAAACAACATTTCTCATAAGCGTAAGGACAGCGAAAGAAAATATGTATTATATACAAAAGAATTTCTTTAGTGTGGAATCGTTGAACGGTGCATTAACCCCCAACTCCCCTCAATACCGACCAATCAAAACGTGAAATGTGTGTCAATCAATGTGCATATGTATCTGTTGTTTTGCCTGTGTATCTGATGGATACTTCTCCAATATTTACATGCGAATATCCCATTTTCTGTCCGCATATTGATTAAACATTTTTGGCCACGTAAAAAACAATCGGGGGCAAAACTACGTTTTTTGGGGGGGAAAAATATACTGTAATAAAATGTTTGGCCATTTGTTTGCATTCGCAGCAACGGCTACGGCCGTGACTGCGGCAGCTCCTGCGGCTTTTTGTGCGGCACATAAAAACTAATGAAAGGATAACATCACACAACAAGCAGGAAGATATAGATGGATGGATGGTTAGAAAAAGAGATGGAGAGCAATAGGGTGTTTAAACTGAGGGTAGGCAAAAAGGGGACACACAAAAACCTAATTAAATTTATTTTTAAAACTTGACGCAGAATAATGGAAATTCAAGATTTTTTGCTGCTGCTGCTGTTGCTGTTGGCCCTCCTGTTGGCTTATTTTAGGGCTTTGCCTTTAAATCGCTGCCGCAGTCAAGGCGCTCACACACACACACACACACACACACACACACACACACTCAAATAGAGACAGAGACATACACAGATACACACTAGAGCATAATGCCGATGGATACGATATTTAAGCTGCTCGAAAGGTTGCCGCCGCAGCCACAGCCGCTGTTGCCCCTAAAAATATAAAATACACCAAGCAGCAAGGCAACAAAAAAAAAGCATCGGCTAGAAGAAGCTTAACCCTTGTGTGCCGTCGCCCCACTGTGAGGCGGGTAGTATTAGTTGCGTATCTAATGGATACCAAAAAATGTGTGTATTATGGGTGTGGAGGGGCCCCCCGATTTGGCAGGAAGTTTTTAACGTTGCAATCAGCTTCGAAGGAGGATTGCTTGCCGCTCTATGAATAAGTGATTGTGGGGGAGGCAGAGAGGATGGAGGACCCGCCCCCGTTACCAGGTCATACATATGTACGTATGTACATATGTTCGGGATGTTTTTGTAGGCGCATAACAAATTTAATTTAACTAATTTCAAGCAGAGAATAATTTCCACGAATGTTCCCATAAGCGAACGGTACTCAATTAGCTAATGCATGAAATTCCGTCTTAATTTATTGGATTCCACAAAATTCTATTCCATTCTACAAACGAAGGAGTTTCGAGATAGTGGGGATCTCATTTGTTTCAATGAAGATTGTTCCCCCTCTTTCTGTTCATAGTTCCATATTTTTATGTAAATATATAAAATCTACTGAGCCATGTTCTGTATTCTTCCACAGGGTAACAAAAATACTGAGATTTCTGCTGAAAACATGTCTCATGCACTCCATAAAAAGGGTGACAGAAAGCGGAGATTGCGGTGGGGAGGAAGGGAGGTGGGGATGGTGGGAGCGAGCGATTCTCGATTTTTAAATATATTTCCGTTTTCTATTGTCTATCATTTTTTGATTGGGGTTTCCCCTTTTGGGTAACGAATAGAACCAACGAATCCACACCTTCCCCCCCCCCCCCCCCTTCGGGAGACATTTGCCTTTGCTTGCCTTTACGAATTTCCTCTCCATTTATTGTTGTTGGTTTTTGTTTGGTATCATTTGTAACTTTTCATCGAATCAATTAAATTTGTGTTGCGCCACCAACACAAAAATCCATATTTAATTACCGTAAAAAACAAACATAGATACACACGCACAGGCAAAGTACAGACACACTCTGGGAAACGGAGAGACAGAAACACAGCGACAGAATATGGCAAACTTATTATGCAATAAGCAATGAAAGAGCAGCAGGAAGAAAAGCAGGAGAAGAAGTTGGGAACAAGCAGGAGAGGTAGAAAGTGTTGGAAGAGTACAAGGAGAAGGCAGAGCAGAAGGAGTAGGAGCTGGAGAAAGAGTGGTGGAAGGGGCATAGCAGGATGGAGGCAGCGGAAGGAGTTGAGAATGAACGAGTGAGTGAGACGCTTCTTACGCGTCACAGCTTTTATACCCGGCACTCAGTACTACATCTGCACCTTAGAGGTTATTTGTCAAATTTTACATTTTTTCTTCATCTGTCGTCTACATACATCAACAACACTACTCACACCAACACGCTCCTTTAGCTCGACACC